CCTATGCGGCAGCATTGAGAGCAATTTGTCCGATTACTGGTGGAGATAACAATCTTGCTCCTTTAGACACAGAAACTCCAACAGTTTTCGATAATGGCATCTACAAGGACATGATGATGGAAAAGGGACTGTTGCACTCTGACCAACAGTTCCACAATGGTGGCTCAACGGACTCCCAAGTTGAGGGTTACAGCAAAAATCCTGAAGCTTTCGCTGCAGATTTTGGGAATGCGATGATCAAAATGGGAAACATTACCCCTCTCACAGGCACCAGTGGCCAAATCAGGTTGAACTGTAGAAAAGCCAATTGAGCCCGGAGTCCGGGACATATATGAGCCTTCTTGTCTAATTATTACTAGAATAAAGCGGCCATGTACTTTTCACTTTTTTTTTTTTTTTCTCGTTGTTATACTTTTTAAACTGTTCCCAAAATAAAGAGTTAATATCTATTTATATATATAAATTTTGTATAACACGTTTATACAAAATTTTAATTATTTATCTTTTTATTTTAAATAATTGAGATTTAGTTAATTTTTATTATATTTATTTTCTTTTTTATTTAAAAAGTTTTGATAAATTTTAATTATTGAAAGTAAAAAAAATAAATAATTGAGATTTAATATAAATGTAGTGTATAAAACTTATGTGTAAATAAATACAAAATATGAAATTTGTTGTTTTACCTCTTATCTCTTTTTTGAATAACATTACTATCATACTAGTAAGAATTTGACCAAATTAACACCTGTTAACTAAAAAAAAAAATTAATTTAAGGTCAATATTAGGGTTTTGAATCATACAATACCAAGTTTTATAACGTCAAATAACTAACTTCTGACATAACCAAAAAGTAAATAATAATAACATTACCATTAATTGTACTAGACTTGACAATGAGTCAAGTTAGGTCTCAAAACTTAATCTAGCATGAATGGGTTATAATTGGTCTTCAAGGTGGGTCAAGTTTTCCCAAGCCTATATTTTACCCTTAAGATTGACCACCAAGTTGTATGAAGAGAGCGTTTTTACTATGTCAGTTATACGAATAGAATACATAATAATTATATTATTGAAAAATTATTGATACACCCTCTAATTTGATATACCTTTCAATACTTGTCTAGTTAGTTATTAAAATATAATATAAGTACAATTAATTCAGCTAATTGTTATATGTTGTATGCATAACTATATCTTCAAATTTTTCTACCTTTAATTTCAAACTAAAAAAAATAATTTTTTAATAAGTGTGTTATGCAATATCTTAAATCGAAGGTTAGACCAATCAATACATCCTATATTATTTCAATTATTTTTAGGTCTCTTTGCGATTAGGGTTCCTTATGTTACACAAGCGGATTGATGTTCTCTTTGGCCAATCTTTTGTATAAAGCCAAGGTGGGTTCTTTTCGGTCAGTTGAATTCTTGTCATTACCAGAAACAACCATTTTTCAGACTAAAAAATCGAT